AAAAAAAAAAAAACAAATCAATGAAACCAGGAGCTGGTTCTTTGAAAAGATCAACAAAATTGATAAACCTCTAGGCAGACTCTTCCAGAAAGGGGAGGGGGGATTCAAATGAACAAAATCACCAATGAAAAAATGAAAGAGAAGAAATAACAACTAACATCCCAGAATACAAATAATTTTAAGAGATTATGAAAAACTATATGCCAACAAATTACGACAACCTAGAAGAAATGGATAAATTCAGAGAAATATAACCTACCAAAACTGAAACAGGAAGAAACAGAAAATTTGAATAGATCTATTACCAGCGAGGTGATTGAATCTGTAATCAGAAAACACCAAACAAACAATAGTCCAGGCCCAGACACCTTCACGGGTGAATGCTACCAAACATTTAAAGAAGAGTTAATACCTATTCTACTCAAAGTATTCTAAAAAATAGAAGAAGGAAAACTTTCAAATTCATTCTATGAGGCCAGCATTATCCTGATACCAAAACCAGATAAATATACCACAAAAAAGAGAACTATAGGCCAATATCTCTGATGAACATAGATGCAAAAATCTCAACAAAATACTAGCAAATAGATTTCACCAATACATTAAAAAAGTCATTCACCATGACCAAGTGGGATTTATTCCTGGGATACAAGGGTGGTTCAATATTCACAAAATAATCAGTGTGATACATCTCATCAATAAAAGAAAGTAAAAACTTTGATCATCTCAATAGATGCAGAAAAAGCATTTGACAAAGTACAACATCCATTCATGATAAAAAACCCTTAAAAAAGTAGGTTTAGAGGGAACATACGTCGACGTAATAAAGCCAGACATGAAAAACCCACAGCTGTTATCATTCTCAATGGGGAAAAACAGAGCTTTCCTCCTAAGGTCAGGAACAAGACAAGGATGTCCACTCTTACCACTTTTATTCAACGTAGTACCAGAAGTCCTAGCCAAAGCAATTAGACAACAAAAAGAAATAAAAGACATCTAAATTGGTAAGGAAGAAGTAAAACTCTCATTATTTGCAGATGATGATACTATATATAGAAAACCCTAAAGACTCTACCAAAAAACTACTAGAACTGATAAATGAATTTAGTAAAGTCACAGGATACAAAATCAATATGTAGAAATCTGTTGCATTTTAATACACTAATAATGAAGCAGCAGAAAGAGAAATTAAGAAAATAATCCCATTTACAATCACACCCAAAACAACAGGATACCTAGGAATAAACAAAGAGGTGAAAAACCCATACTCTGAAAACTATAAAACATTGACAGAAGAAATTAAAGAGACAAAGAAATGGAAAAACATTCCATGCTCATTGCTTAGAACAATTATTGTTTTTTTTAAGATTTTATTTATTTATTTTAGAGAGAGAATGAGATAGAGCATGAGAGGGGGCACGGTCAGAGGGAGAAGCAGACTCCCTGCTGAGCAGGGAGCCCGATGCGGGACTCGATCCCGGGACTCCAGGATCATGACCCAAGCCGAAGGCAGTTGCTTAACCAACTGAGCCACCCAGGCACCCCTTAGAACAATTATTGTTAAAATGTCCATACTACCCAAAGCAATTTACAGATTTAATGCAATTCCTATCAAAACACCAACAACATTTTTTCACAGAACTAGAACAAAAAATCACAAAATTTATATGGAACCACAAAAGACCCTGAATAGCCAAAGCAATTTTGAAAAAGAAAAATAAAACTGGAGGTATCACAATTCCAGACTTCAAATTATATTACAAAGTGGCAGTAATCAAAACAGTATGGTACTGGCACAAAAATAGACACATAGATTAATGGAACAGAATAGGAAACAGAAATAAACCCACAATTTTGTGGTCAATTAATCTTCAACAAAACAGGAAAGAATATCCAATGGGAAAAATTCTCTTCAACAAATGATGTTGGGAAAACTGGACAGGCACATGCAAAAGAATGAAACTGGACCACTTGAAGAGAGCACAGGCAGTAATTTCTCTGACATTGGCTCTAGCAACAGTTTTCTAGATATGTCTCCTGAGGCAAGGGAAGTAGAAAAAAATAAGCTATTGGGACTACATCAACATAAAAAGCTTCTGCATAGCAAAGGAAATAATCAACAAAACTAAATGGCAACCTATGGAACAGGAGAAGATATTTGCAAATGACATCTGATAAGGGGGTAGTATCCAAAATATATAAAGAATTTATACAACTCAACACCCACAAAACAAATAGTCCTGTTTAAAAATGGGCAGAAGACATGAACAGACATTTCTTCAAAGAAGACATCCAGATGCCAATAGACACATGAAAAGATGCTCAGCACCACTGATCATCAGGGAAATACAAATCAAAACCACAATGTGATATTATCTCTCACCTGTCAGGATGACTAAAATAAAAAACACAAGAAACAAGTGTTGGAGAGGATGTGCAGAAAAAGGAACTGTCTTGCACTGTTGGTGGGAATGCAAACTGGTGCAGCCACTTTGGAAGACACTATGGATGTTCCTCAAGAAATTATAAATAGAGCTACCCTATGATCCAGTAATTGCACTACTGGGTATTTACCCAAAAATAATCCAAAAACATGAATTCAGAGGGATACACGCACCCCTGTTTTTTGCAGCATTATTTACAGTAGCCAAACTATGGGAGCAGCCCAAGTGTCCATCGAATGATGAATGGATAAAGAAGATGTGGTATAATAGACAATGGAATATTATTTGGCCGTAAAAAAGAATAAAATATTGCCATTTGCATAAATGGAGCTAGAGAGTATAATGTTAAGCAAAATAAGTCTGAGAAAGATAAATACCATATGATTTCACTAATATGTGGATTTTAAGGAACAAAACAAAGAGCAAAGCAAAGAGAGAGAGGGAAACCAAGAAGCAGACTCTTAACTATAGAGAACAAACTGATGGTTATCAGAAGGGAGGTGAAGGGGATGATGGGTGAAGTAGGTGATGGGGATTAAGGAGTGCACTTGTCATGATGAGCACTGAGTGATGTATGGACCTGTTGAATCACTATATTTACACCTGAAACTAAGATGACATTGTATGTTAACTATACTGGAATTTAAAATTTTAAAAAGAAATAGAAGGGAAAAAATTAGAAAATGTTTCAAGAAGGAGGAGATGATATTGAAAGTGCTTAAGAAGTTGAGAAAGATGAGGATGGAGAAATAATTTTTGGATTTGGCAACATGGAAGTTATTGATGACCTTTAACAGTTTTGGTGGAGTGATGGGTTCAGAAGCTCACATTTGAATAAAACACAGGAGGTAAGAGAATTGAATGAAGTATAGACCTCTCTTTAAGGAAGTTGGGTTTTTTGTTTTGTTTTGTTTTTGGTGAAGGGGAGTTGACAAATGGGGAAGTAGCTGGAGGAGAATGTGAGGTCAAGGAAGGGTTTTTTTTTCTCTCTAAAAATTGAAGACATGCTTGATATCTTCCTCTCTCTTTCACGCTTCCCCCAAATTTGAACCATCACCAAGTTCTATTTATTTACCTCATAAATCACTCAAATCTATCCTTTTCTTTCAGTTACCACTGCCACCATCTTATTTAAGTTATCATTATCCCTCACATAGATTACTGCAGTACAAGTTATAACTGACACTCTACCTGTACTATCATCCTCATTAAATCTCTTCACACTTCAGCCAGACATTTTCCAAATACACATCTAATCAAGTTACCAGACCATTCCATCCCATTCACCACTATATTATAAAGGACTTCCCATTGCTTTTAGGATAAAGACAAGCGGCATGACTTTTAAGGCCTTACATGGTCTGCCCATTTCTTCTCCCACTTCTCTCTTGCTTTCACTGCTTCTGCTACACTGTCCTAATCTGGCCCCTAGGTCTTTATACTTGATATTCTTTCTGACTGGAATATTCTTTCTTCTGCATCTCCCTTCCTCCACAATACTCTACCTAATAACTTACTATTTCTTCAAATGCCCAATACAATCATCCCTTCCTCAGAAAAGCCTTCCCTAACCTCTCTAACCAGATTAATTCCCTTTGTTGCATACTCCCATAGTCCACCAGGTACCTTTCCTTGATAACTTTCCAAAGTTGTAATTTTTCATTTTCTTGTCAGCATTTTATTAATGTCTGTCTTCCTTAATAGTGTTTAACCTCCACGAGAGCAATAACAGTTCTATGAGGTTAGTGGCTGTGCTTTTTTTCCTTGCCATTATATATACAACACGCAGCATAATGCCTGACACATAGTACCGAATAAATATCTGTTAAGTGCGCTGAATTCAATGAATGAGTGAATCCTAATTGTACCTCGTTAAGTAATGCAATACAGTCTCTTGAATTAATTTAGAAATTTTCTAGTACTTCTGTAAGAAGAAAGGGCAATCAGCATTATTTTTTAAACAGTGTTTATGGTGACTAACATAATAAAATAAAATTTTTAAAAAAGGCCATAATTCCTAGAAAAAAATAAAATAAATGTTAAGTTTGGAATGACTGCATAAGAAGTAGCTTAATTTACATTCTATGAATAAAATAGGTGTAGTGAAATCAGTAACATATAAGAAGGGAATATATATGTTGATTGGTGTTTTAAAAATAAATATATAGTAATTCTGATTTTAAACCTTTATGTATAGCTATTGGAAATAATAACTTAAGTGATTTATAATGGAACTCATGTTTGATAATAATTCTCTATAAAATATTTTTCAGAGAAATATTTCAAAATTCCAAATTTAAAGCAACTGATGAGAGATGCAGGCAAAGATCATTAAAGGGAAAGATTAAATCTCATTCTCAGTGTGTCTTTATTTCTCGAAATTTTCATACTGGAGGATTCCAATCACAGGTAGTGTATGATATTTTATAGAAATATTTTCAAATAATTTATTTGATACCATGTCATGAACATTGTTGTCTTTAAATTTGAAAGACAGAGTATCCACTGTTATTTTTAAATTTGAGAGATAGTAACATGGAGCTAAATTTAAATTACCCAAACTAGTTAGTTTTTATATTATAGGAAACTAAAAAACTAAAAGAAAATGTCTGCTTTTGTAGTTGCTTCTCTATATCTCTAGCTTAAGAACCTATGCTCCTCAGATTGGGATTATTACAGGGATGAAGATAAATGGCATAAGAAAAACAAAGCAAAATTGCCAGACCCATCAGAGGAAAGTGATTTGGAAATAAGAGGATACTCAGATAACCAAATAATCTAACAAAACCAACTAATTGAAATTAAGTACAACTTAACAAGGATTTATTAAGACTTCATTATATTCTAAGCTCTGGGAACCCCCAGTTAAGGTTGGTAAAATATGCTAGTGTAGTACAAGTGGGAAAGGAAGACACATAATTAACTTTCTGTTATGTGGTGTCAAAACAGTGTTATATGGACAAAGTAAAACAAGGGGGAGATACCAGTAGAAATGTAAAACTATGATATAACTAAACAAAACAAATATTAGTGGTTTATAGCATCATCATTATTATAGCATTAATAAATAAATAGCAACAAATTGATAGGATATCAAAGTTTCATTATACATATTGAATAAAATTGAACTCAAGTTGAACTCAGTGTTCATTTGTTGAACAAGTATTTTTCAAGTGCCTTAAATATGACAACACTAGGTTTGGCACTGAGGCTACATAAACAAATAAGATATGAGTTCAGACCTAGATGAGCCCAAAGTTAGTAGAGAAGAAAAACAGATAAGCTAAAAATTACAGCATAATGTGGTAAGAGCCACAAAATTGAAGAAGTGCAGACAAGGGAGCATAAATTGAGGAAGGCTTCACAGAGAAGAAAGTTTTAACTGGATTTTGAGAAAGGAATGTAAGTGTGCCAGGAGGAAAGAGAATAAAGGACATTCATTCTATGTTCAAAGGCTTGCAGCTATGAAAGTAACATATTCAGTAAAATTGTTACAGTGTTTGGGGCCTAGGGTTCATAGAGGGAAGTGGTGGGGAAAGATCCTGGAGATGAGGTTGTGAGAAACCTCGTTTACAGCCTAAGGATTTTGGATTTTACTCCATAGGCTTTACAGATCCACTGGAGGCATTATGGGATTAGGGTCAAGAGCATAGACTGTGGAGCCCGTTGATGCAAGTTAGAATCCTGGCTCTACCACTACTCGCCCTATAATCTTAGGCAAATTACTTAACTTCTGTGTGTCTGTTTCCTCATCTGCAAAATGAGGATGATTTTATCGCCATAGAACTGTTATGGGAAGTAAATGAATTAGTATGTAAAAAACACTCAGAATCATGCCTGGCCACATAGTGAGCACCATACAAGTTTACCATTATGATTACTGGGGGGTTCTAAGCAGGTGGGTTTAATGATCAAATCAATTCTAAAGATTAATAGTTCTTTCAAATGAAGGGTTGTTTGAAATTGAGATTGCATTGCAGAGAAAAATGTTTCTATGTATGCATTTAGTATTAATTGAATTTACTGAGTATCCAACACATGCTAGGCATTTTGCTAGGTACTGTAGTATAATGATGTCTTCATACCTAATGATAGATACAGACAGATAATTACAAAAATGTCATGAGTACTATGATGGAAGAAGTATATATATAGTAGTACTGTTTAACTGTTTATTGTTCATTCAGCAAATACCTAATAAAGGTTTATATGCCCACTGTTCTAGGCAACTGGAAATTTGGTAGTGAACAAGGAAGACAAGAGTCCCTATTCCCATGACATTTATAGTCTAATGGGAGAGATAAATAATACACAAGTAAATATAAAATATTAGCCAGAATTCTTGATAGTGATAGGAACCTAATTCAGAAAAAAAGAGTATGAAAACATGGTATGAAAAGAATAAGGTAGTGCCAACTTCAGCCACAGTCAGTTTCAGTACAAAAGGATTCTTTTTCATCTCAATTTCTGCCTGTGTAGTAGCTTCTTCCTCACCTCCCAGAGATAGACAGGCAGGAGGATGAAAATTATAACAAAAGATATGGCTTAATATTTAGAACTACAGCTTCATTTCTAAAAAAGCGTTTATTGTGAAATACAGCATATAAACAGAAGAGTACCCACAAACAATTTAAAGACTAATAATTATAATTATTTATACCCACCACCCAGAATAAGAAATAGAATATTACCAGTACCTTTGAGATGTCCTGAGTCTTCATTTATCTCTTACAGTCTGTACCCCCACCCTTCACTGAAGGACCCATTATCCTGTAATTGCAGTTAACCATTTCTTTGCTTTTCTTTATGGTTTTACCACAAATACTATAGAGTCTTGAACAATGTATTATTAAATTTTACATGTTTTTAGACTCCATGTCTAATATACTCTTACCTTTTTGTGCAACATTATGTTTCTGAGATTCATCCAGGTTGGTGCATATACCCATAGTTCATTATAGACTTTTTTTATAGTATTCCAATGTATGAACAGATCAAATTTTATGTTTTGCAAATAATCCTAAAATTAAAAGACCTCAAATAGCCAAGGCAATCTTGATAAAGAAGAACAAAAATGGAGATATCACAATCCCAAATATCAAGATATTCTACAAAGCTGTAGTAATCAAAACAATATGGTACTGGCACAAAAGCAGACATGTAGATCAACAGAACAGAAGAGAAAACCCAGAAATGGATCCACAACTATATGGTCCACTAATTTTTGACAAAGCAGGAAAGAATATACAACGGAAAAAAGATAGTCTCTTCAACAAATGGTGTTGGGAAAACTGGACAGCAACACACAAAAGAATGAAACTGGACCACTTTTTTACACCATACACAAAAATAAATTCAAAATGGTTGAAAGACCTAAATGTGAGACAGGAAACCATCAAAATCCTAAAGGAGATCACAGGCAGCAACCTCTTTCACGTTGGCCATAGCAACTTCTTACTAGACATGTCTTTGGAGGCAAGGGAAACCAAAGCAAAAATGAACTATTGGGACTTCATCAAGATTAAAAACTTCAGTGTCATATCTAAAACCTTTCTCTAATCTAAGGTGTAAAGATTTATGCCTATATTTTCTTCTAAGAGTTTTAATAGTTTTAGCTCTTACATTTAAATGTTTGATCTATTTTGAGTTAGATTTTGATATGGTGTGAGGTATGGGCCCAACTTCATTCATTTGCATGTACATATCTGGTTGTCTCAACACCGTTTGTTGAAAAGACTATTCTTTCCCCAATGATTGTCTTGGAACACTTGTCAAAAATCAATTGACTATGAATGTGAACTTTTATTTCTGGAATGTCCGTTCTATTCCATTGATCTATATATCTATCCTTATATCAGTACCACATCTTCTTAATTATTGTAGCTTTGAAGTAAGTTTTAATTTCAGGAAATTCTCCAACTTTTTTTTTCATGATTGTTTTTGCTATTAAGTTTTACATTTTATATTTCTATCTTTGATCCACCTTTAGTTAATTTTTTTAATAAGGTATGAGGTGTAAGTCAAAATTCATTTTGGGGACTCCTGATATCTAATTGTTCCAACACTATTTTTGAAAAGGCTATCCTTTTTACATTGAATTGCTTTTGCAACTTTTGTCAAAAATCTGTTGGAAAAATATGTGTGGGTCTATTTCTGGATCCTCTGTCTGTACTGCTGACCTGTGTGTCTATTTCTACCAATACCACACTCTGGCTACATACTAGGTCATAAAATTGAGCAGTATGGTTCCTCCAATTTCATTTCTTTGTCAATTTTTTTTAGCTTTTATTGTTTTTTTGCCTGTTCATGTAAGTTTTAAGATAAATTAATCTCTAGCTACAAAAAATCTTTTTGAGATTGTGATGGGAATTACATTTAGTTTATAGATAAGATTGGAGTGAATTGCCATCTTTACTACAATTGATATTTATATTGATCTGTGTTCTGTGACCTTTATAAATAAATTTACTTATTACTTTTAGTAGGTTTTTCTTTTTTGTGGACTCCATAGGGTTTTCTTCAACACAATCATATCATCTTTGAAAAACATCAATTTTACTTACTTTCTAATCTTTATGCTTTTATTTTTTCATCTTGTTTTACTGGGTAAGGCCTCATATATAATGATGAATAGAAGTGTCGAGAACAGTTATCCTTTTTATATCCCTGATCTCAGAGAGAATACATTCAACTCTTCACCAGTAAGTAGAAGGTTAACTATGGAATTTTTGTAGATGCATATTGTCAGGTCAAGGAAATTCCTTTCTATTCTTAGTCTAATGAGAGTTTGTTGTTTCTGTTTTTTTAGTCATGAAGTTTGCTGAATTTTGCCAAATGGTTTTTCTGCATCTTTTGACATTGTTCACATGGATTTTCTCTTTTGTTAGTGTGAATTACATTGAATTTCAAATGTTAAACCAACCCTGTATTCCTGGAATAAACCCCATTGGATTTGATTTACTGATATATTTTAAGTCACTTTTGCATCTATGTTCATGAGGGACATTATAATTTTCTTATCTTATAATATCTTTGTTAGATTTTTTTAAAGAATTTATTTATTTGAGAGAGAGAGAACAGGAGCAGGGGGAGGAACAGAGGGAGAAGCAGACTCCCTGCTGAGCAGGGAGCCTGATGCTGGGCTCAATCCCAGGACCCTGGGACCATGACCTGAGCTAAAGGCAAACGCTAAACAGACTGAGCCACCCAGACGCCTCTGTTTTTTATTAGATTTTAAAATCACAGTTATTTTGGTCACAAAATAACTATGAAATGTTTCCTGCTCCTCTACTTTTTGAAAAATTTTTGTGTGTAATTGGCAATACTGCTTTCTCGAAGGTTTTCCTAGAATTCAGCAATGAGTTCATCCAGGTCTAAAGTTTTCTTCCAGAGAGAGTTTTTGACTATAAATATAGGACCTTTAATAGATATGGGGCTATTTAAATGTTTTATTTTGTATGTTTTAGAAATTTATGTTTTTCAATGAATTTGTCCATTTAATCTAAGTTGTTAAGTTTATTGGCATAAAGTTTTTAATAGTATCCACTTATTATCCTTCTAATATCTGTAGAATCTTTAGTGATGGCACTCATGAAATGATTTAGGATTATATCCTAAATCAGTCTTGCTAGAAATATTCAATTTTATTATTCTTAGACTTTTTTCTTTTATAATATAAACATCTAATATTTAAATTTTCCTCTAAGCATTGCTTTTGCTGCATCTCACAAATTTTTATGTTTTGTTTTCATCATTTTTCAGTTCAAAATATTTTAAAATGTCCTTTTGTCCTCATCCATGATATTGACATTTTTGAAGAATACAGTTACTTTATAGATCATAGACTCATTTTGACTTTCCTTGTGATCAGATTCATTTTATCACATCTGAAGACATACAATGTTCATCTGCTTTTCACTAATGATTTTAGTTGATCACACATGATGTTTATTCTTTTTTTAAAATATTTATTTATTTTTTTTAAAGATTTTATTTATTTATTTGAGAGAGAGAGAGTGAGAGATAGAGAGCACAAGAGGGAAGAGGGTCAGAGGGAGAAGCAGACTCCCTGCTGAGCAGGGAGGCTGATGCGGGACTCGATCCCGGGACTCCAGGATCATGACCTGAGCCGAAGGCAGTCGCTTAACCAACTGAGCCACCCAGGTGCCCACACATGATGTTTATTCTTCACCCATTGTATTATTCCTGTTTTTACCCTAGCAATTAAATAATCTGTGTGATGACACTTTGAACCAAGTAACCATGAAAATACCTTTCTTCATCAAACTCTACTTACCAGCTATATATATTATTCTTGCCTGAACTAATCTTTACAAAACTGTAGCAAAATAATGTTTTTCTAATTCTACTACTTCCATCTTCCTTTGGCTTTCTACTATAAGAAAAAAGCTCTCTGTCTTTATTATCTGTGTAGACTCATGGGTTTCTGTGTTATTCAGCAGTTAATAATCCATTACTATACTTATTTTGATGCTCAAATTTTCCCAAATTTAACCAGTAGGAACCCCTTCAAGGATGTTTCCCTGTCCTTTTTTATATGTCCCTGTCATTTTTTGAGCCCTTACTTCTGAAATTATAGCATCATTTTTAATAGTTGGAAGAATATTGATTGTATTACTATCTATGTATCATAGTACATTTAAGTATTTCTTTTAGAATTTTAAGTTGCAGACTTTAAAAATGCTTAACAATGTTGTAAAGAACATTTTGGTAACTGAATATTTACATAAACCCAAAATTATTAACTTGGCATAAGACATTTCTAGAAGTAGATTTGTTATATGGCCCTCCAGAAAAATTCTACCTATTTATAAGTAGCAGTATGTAAGAATGTTCGTTTTGCTATTCCCTTAAATTTGGGTGGAATTTCAATCAGTCTAGGGCCTTATTCCCTGGTCCCCGGACCAGCAATATCATCATTACCTGGGTGCATCTGTTAGAAATGCACAATCTCAGACCCCACTCCAGACCTACTGGGTTATAATCTGCATTTGAACAAATTCCCCAGGTAAAATATAGGCACATAAAAGTCTGAGGGGCAGCGTTCTAATATAATTTATATAGGCGTCACAAATTGAATCGGTCCTAAGTCCAGGCAAGGTAAGTCAGGAGCCTATACTGGCATTTATATTATAAAGGGTAAAAGTGACAAATAACTAAAGTTGATTGTGAAAAAAGTACTGTGTAATCCTATATACATATAAGACAAATATGAAATATATATATTATATACATAATATATATACACACACACACATGCACACACACATACATACCCTATATGTATGTATATCTTAAGCAAACTATTTGGGGGGATAGGACAATGCAGATCAGCATGGAGTACTAACACTGTTCTCCTAAAACAAAAGAAGACAATGTTATTATCTCTCCAGCCTCATCTTCACCCACTCCATCCAAAACACCCTATGCAATAGCCCACTGTTTATCTAGTGGTCTAAGGAAAACCTGAATCAGAACCACTTGCAGAGTGTGTTACAATGGGTATTCCCAAACCCCACCCAGAGAATCTGTTTTAGTAGGGTCTGATATTATGCCCAAGTATCAGCATTTTAATAAGCACATCAGGTGATTCTGATGCCCTGGAGTTTGAAAACTACTACACCACGACACTTCCCAGAACACATATGGAATATATTGTTTGAGCAACTGTTTTATTTGCTTCAAAAGAATAGCACATTTTTATAAAAGTCTTCAGCCAGAATTCACTTTTTTGTTGTTGTTGGTTAATGAAATGAGTAAGTCTAGGAATTCTAACTATTTTTTTAGACCTCTCTAGTTCTAACCAAGTGACTCTGAGTTAGTGAGGAGGGGGAGAAATAATCCTGATGAACTCTATTTTATCCTTTCATTCCCTATCCTGAGACTGCCTTCTTGAACCAATTCACATTCTTTCCAGATGATACCTAAACACTTTTTTTTTTCTGTCAGTATATTTTGGTGAAATAAACTCATTGTGGAAAAAAAATTCCATCAAAAACTTATTATGTAGTTAAAATATATATTTCTTATATAAATATACATTAAATATATTAAACAAATTACACAGAAACCATTCAGTTTATTAAATACAAATAACTTTTTTTATGTAGGAGGAGCAAAGAAAAAAGGAAACAGCACATATAAAAGGTAATTTTTCTCAACAATTTATTAGAAGAAATCATGATCAACTTAAAGCAATTTCCATCTTAAAGAACCAAGAGGCCTACCTAAATGCTATCTAAATATTGTTTTAATATGATGGAAATTCAAGGGAAACATTAATGTGTTAGTATGTGCGTGGGCATATATTTCTTAAAAAACAAAACTTGCAATGTCGCATCTTAAGTTAAAATATGAAATTTACATTTTTGTTCCTTATTTATACCCAAAAGTATCATAGTCAGGGGCACCTTGGTAGTTCAGTGGGTTAAGCATCCAATTCTTGATTTCAGCTCATGTCATGATCTCAGGGTTGTGAGATCAAGCCTGGCATAGGGCTCCACACTGGGCATGTAGCGTGTTTAAATTCTCTCTTTATCCCTCCACTCATCCCCTCCCTCTCTCTCTCCCCATCTCTTAAAAAAAACAAAAACAAAAGAAAAAAACAAAAAAAAACAGAGGAAGTATCATAGTCAATGCCATATGGTAATCCTAGAGGGTCAAAAGACATGGGTATTTTATAATCCTTTAGATATTGCATATGATGTCTTAGTACCTCAAAACATTACCCTCCTACATAATATAAGAAATGTTGGATATATAAAATGTAATAAGGTATTTAAAACAGCTTTAAAAAATAATATTGTATATTAATTTCAAAAGTCAATATGTAAAAAAAAGTCAATATGTAAAATATTATAAAAGGTACTTAGGATACTATATAGTGTGATATTTTCTAAAACTTAACATTTTTAAATATCAACCGTGCAGCATAAATAATGTAATAATTGGAGAAGCATGAATCTTAGAGTACTAGAAGTCTAGGTGAAGTCTGTTGTGTATCTGATTTGTGGTGAGTCATCCATCTCTAAATCTCAGTCTTCTCCTTTATGAAGTGGTTCTAATAATAACTTCCTTGAAAAATTATTGACAGGATAAATGAGATATGGAAATATATCAAACTGCTTTGCATATTGTAAGGCACTCTAGGAATATTTGTTACTTTAATTGGTGTAAAGCCAACCCAAAGGCCCTTCCCACTGTGGACCAAACATTTTGTAATCTGCCTGCTTACAGAGGCATGTATTTTTTTAATTTATTTTTTAAAAATCAGGCAATACTTATCTATAAATATTTAAGAAACTATGTTTTCTGATATTAAGGGACATTCCAGAACTGAGCCTTCTAGCCTATTTAAAATCTTTTCCTATTAAAGCAGATTGATTTTATTTAGAATAGCCTTTTCTATTCTTCATTATTGTGAAATTGTTAATCCCCAGTTACATATTTAACATTGCACAGATGATGATAGCAACTCAGAATTTTCACTATTGCATCCTCCTGTCCATTTTAACCCCAAAAAGATTCTGAATTTGAAAAAGAAATATTGTCCTTATAAGTAAGATTTGGCTGATGAATATGTAATATTCATAGTAAATCTAATTTTCTTTTACAGTAATAAAAGATCACTCTAAAGATGAATTCTGCCTTGCACCAAAAAAGGTCATTTGTGACCCCTCAGAGACTAGCTCGGCAATACATCCCAGCAGTGTTACCTTAAGCTTATCAACACTACCATCTAATTCTTATTACAGCCAAAGTATAGAAGCAGCTGATGACTGGTTTTCTGATGATACTCTAGCAAAAAAGAGCTCTCCAGTTCCTTTTCTCAGGGAACCTCTAATGGAAAAAGTATTTTCATACCTGTCAACAATTTCATTAGAAGATTGTACTGAAAATGTACTGAATATGACACTTTATGATGATCAGAAAGATGACAGCATTAAGGAAATATTTTCACGAAGAAATACAGAGGTTGAAATACAAAACCTTCAACATAATATTGAATGACTTTTTTCTTTTGAAACATTGTATATACTGAAGTCATGGAAAGTTAAAACGGAATTACCAGCTTCTGAGGCTCTTAACATGTCCATACTAATATTACTTGTTTGTTACCATAGAGTGGTCCTACTTCCCTTGCCAATTCTTATTTCTAGAAACAAAATTACAGGAAGCAGTAGAGTGACATCATGAACATTAAGCTCAACTCCTTGTATCTCATCAAAGGACATAATAAATAATATGAATGTATTTCAGCATACAAGAGAAATACTTTAAGAAATCTTCAGCACAAATAGACTTTTGAATAAAACATTCACAGCATTTCCTTATACTTCTGACATTTTCAATTTTATTTCAATATGGGTAGGGCTGGGCAGAATATTTCCATCAGCTTTTCTGAATTTTAAATACATAAATTTCCTATCATTCAAATTTTATTTTGTCATGATTTTGGTAAACAATATAATTTTGCTCTTCTAGGGGAACCTGGAACACTGAAGAATCCAGAAAATAATTTTCTTTGCCCTTTCCTACGTCTGCTTCTCAGAATGGTTTCCCAATCCTTACTCCACTATGATGGAAATGTCGGCAGCTATGTTCTTAAGCAGCTGATTCAAGCTAGATGAATCAGAGTTCCTCTCTAATCTGAGAAATCCTTTTTTTTTTTTTTACATATTTTTATCATTTTATCAGGAATAATTCCAAATGGGTTATGAAGAAAATTTACTGAGTTTGATGAGTTTTCCAAAACCTCTTAATGAAGATAATCTGAGAGACCCTTGGTCAGATTTCTATGTTTGGTCCTGAGGAATTTCTGAAATCCACCATGAAATTAAATTTTTTTCCCTTTCTCCTAAATACTGTACATGTAATCAGTCTCTCCTTTTCTTTCTTTCTTTCTTTCTTGGAAAATTATTAAATATAATATTAATTTTTGTGCTTAAGTTACTCATGCCAGCACTTGTGCTTATCTTCCCAAGAGATAGATCATACCTACTACAATAAATGAAAAAAAGTTGTCTCAATTAAGATAGTAACATTACCCATGTCTATTGATTCTGTCCCATGGGAAATATTAAAAAAGATTAGAACACCGCTCTCTTCTGAACCACCTCATTGTTTCTACTAGTTACTGGTTGTGAGAACATCTCTCTAATATCCACTCCTACATCTAAATAAGCTATTTGAACTCAGGGTCTGTAAGGAACAGCATATATATAAATTGTTCTCTGTCTCTTGGTGTCCCAGAGTCCCTCTTCCTATCCCAGAAAAGTCATCTCTAATTTGGTAAGATCTTAAAACTTTCCTAGGAATTTGGGATTGAAGATAAGAGAGTCTAGCTTTGAACTGATTAGTCTCTGGAATAGAGGAAACAAACTTGGGAGCTATGGGCTGCCATGTCCCACCTTGTGGTTTGGGAAGGAAAAATAGCGGTGAAGCACTTGCAAAGTAAAAAGCAGAGATGAGAGATCAGGAGAATGTGATTCCTGCTTTCTAATAGTCCTCCATTTCCTTGTTCCAGCCCTTCATGAAGCCTGCCCTTGGCTTGGTATGGCACCCTTGTATCCTAATAATAAATTCCCCTGTTGTTTGATTAAGCTAGCAAAATTTGATATTTATTAGTGTCCTGTTTTTAACTGTTGTTCTGGGCTTTGGTAAGGTACCCTTGTAATTTTATAATAAATTATCCTTTCTGCATAAAGTAGAAAGAGTTTTGTTTCTGTTACTACGACCAAAGCATCCTAACCAAATTTTTGTCATTACAAATGAGAAATAAAGAGATCTATGCATATAAAGTAATTGTTATATTGTCATAGAATAGATTGAATTTATTTCTCAAAACCTAACACATTTACTTGTTATTAAAATGTTATTCTATATCAAAGCTATATAACTGTTCTCTTTGAAAAGACTAATGAGCAGTACACATGAAATTAAACCAGTCTAAAATAATCTTATTTTCAAGAACTGTGAAGGATCTGAGATTTCACCATGTATGCCCTCTGACAAGTTAGCCTTCAATAGTTTTGTGTCTCTTGGGTCGGTGACAAAGGACAGTTTATTATTCATAGCAGTAGCAAGGGTAGCTTTTGAAAGAGGCTGACATCCACGGAATGGATCATCTTCTCCACTTAATTATTAACATTTCTTCTGATATTGCTCTTTGGGGAACATTTACTTAAGACTCACATATTCATATTCTGTGCCCATTCAGAGAAACTTACCTGCATATATCATTCCTAGACTCCTTGTCACTAATTTTCCAATTGTATTCCTTACAAGTACCCAGCCATTCAGCCAAACCATTACCCACTGCCAGTGAATCAGTAAAAGTCTATACCTCGGAACATTTATCCTTCCAGGCTATACAGCTAGGTCACTGCTTGAAGTTATGCTTACTGAAATTTTCACCACTGCCTATCAAGGCCATACATGAGCAGGGCTCTGGTACTCCAGCTGTGAACTTTGAGATGATGCTGACGTATCATGTAGAACTGTCTGAAAATCAGGCTCGAGTATTTTTTTTCTCAGTCAAATGATGGTAAGTAACTCTACTTGATGCCATAGGTTATGTGGTGAGAGAGAGAAGACCATGTAGCTGGAGTAAGAGCCATGGGTATTTAACCATTTTCTTATGCAGTTTCTTTGTGCTTTAAGAATCTGCTCAAATGCAATTTTATATATCCTTAATGCCATTTGTAATTGAGTGCAGATCTGCATGCCTAACTTTATGTCTTAGCAAATCAGACAACACCAGTTCATGGTGAACAGTTGAACTCAAAGGTAAGTTGGTGGCCATGGTCACGTGTTAAGTCCCTACTAGCCCAATAGTAAGCCAGAGGATGTTTCCAAAAGACTAATTATTGGCAGGTGATAACATAGCTTTGTTTAGAATCCTGTAGACTCTTGTTAACCTGGAGTTGCCTGCTAAAGTCTCTATAGAGTATATCTATTTGCTACAAGCACTTCACATAGTGTGGATCTGCTATGTGGCAGAACAGCTAACTTAGCAGCCTGGATCTGTTGCAGAGCTTTCTATTCTTCCAGGCCATATTCAGAACTGGAGCCTCTTTCAGGTTACTCAGTAAGTGGGTCCAAGTCGCACATCCAAATGAAGTATATGTTACCTTCAATATCCAAAGGAGCCCACTATGCATTGTGCCTCTTTCTTAGTGGTTGGAGGTATCCGATGCAGCAACTAGTCTTTCACCTTAGAAGGGATATCCGGACATGCTCCAGACCACTGGATGCTTAGTAATTTTACTGAAGCAACAGGCCCTTGAATTTTGTAGAATTTATTTCCACCCTCTGGCATGCATATATCTTACCAAATTATCTAGGGTAGTTACTGTTGCTTGTTCACCATGTCCAGTAAGCATGATATCACAAATGTGCTGTGGTGTCCATTTGTATGGAATGAAGATTAAGGCCTATTTATACTAGATTATGACAGAGAGCTAGAGAGATAATCTAGCCCTGCAGTAGAACAGTGAAGGTGTTAGTGCTGACCCTTAGAGATGAAATAAAACTGCATCTTGTGGTCCATGCTAACAGGAATAAAGAAAAAAAGTATTTAATGGAGGAATAGGTGAATAGCATATACAAGATGCTATTGTGAATAGGTGAATAGCATATACAAGATGCTATTGGTGATGCATATACAAGATGCTTCATTGGTGGAGCAAATCATTCCCTTCCTACTGTCTTTTTTTTTTTTT